TCCTTTGTATTTTAAGCCCACTCTTTTGTAAAGCATCACTTTGTAAATGTATTAAGTTTGTATTACTTGGCCATGTAATGTTGCTATGAGCCTTAATATTAATTTGATGTAAATTAAGCAAATTGTAAAGACTATGAAGAAATATGCATGATCATGTTGTTAACGGACTTAAATGGTTACTGTAATCCGTATTTCAATGATTTTGTATGTGCTTGCGTAGGATTCCTTCAGTTTAAAACTCTATAATAAGCTCTTGTTCTTGTTCATTTTCTTGTTCAAAGCAATCCAGTAGGAAGTCTCAACTTGCAAGGCCATTTCAGTCGACCGAAATGGGCAGAAGTCTCAGCTCGCAGGGCCATTTCAGTCGACCGAAATGGGCATTTCGGTCGACCGACATCTCCTATAGCCATGTTATTTTGGGAGCTCACAACTGGTCGACTGATATAGCCTTTTCGGTCGACCGATACAAGCCCATTTCGGCAGACCGAAAGTTCACTTCGGTCGACTGGTTTGCCCAGTTGTACTTCCATTTGTTAAGATTGTCCTTAAGCGTTGGGATGTCATTTTGGCCTTTTATAGAGCAGGATTAGGACATTGGTGTGGTGTTGAGGTGTGTTGACCCTGATTATAGTGGTGCAGACATAGATGACCTCAGATTCGGATAAGGACCCGGTTAGCGATTCGGACCCCTAAGTTCGGGTTGTTACACGTACGACTCATATTTACGGACCTAGATGACGCTAGGATTCTTTATAGTGTATAACGTTGTATTTACGGCCATGACCATGGTAGCCTCATTCATGTATTTAAATTCATTGAAAATTGTATAATTTGATTAGTAATGATGTATTGACCTTGGGTATGATGGTATTGTCTAGATGACCTCGGGTTCGGTAAAAACCCGGTTAGCGATTTGGACCTTCGGGTTTGAGTCATTACAGCACCAAGGTACCGTTTTTTGTACATATCATTTTATTTGTATAAGAATGATAAACGTGGGTACAAGAGTGAATGAAATAGATTCAATAGACCTATTGAATCTATTTCATTCATAGGACTTCTATCCAATCCAATGTGCATGTTTCGCCTCTACTCTTCTACAACAAAAATCTCCAATCTTCCAGTCTTCAGTTGAATCATAAACTATCAATTCATAAGAATCAAAATGGACTATTGAGTTTAAGGAATCATGAACTGTGTGTAGGGAGGAATTATCACTTGGTCTAGGTCTACATTGCGCCGACTAATTACTAGTTGACAAGCAAGTAAATGTGTCAGCCAAGCGAGAAATTATTGCATGGTTCGAGACCATGTAATAATTTCTAGTAACTAGGCAACTAACCAGAGTTTAACAGGAAAGTAAGATGGATCTTTCCCAGTAAAGAAGCACATCTTGTACATGCAAAGTTGCAAACAGCACTGTATGCTAATGACTAAGATAACCTAAGTAAAATAATGTGCATGCTCTGCCATTAAGCATCTGGATCTTCAACTTAGAGCTCAAAAGTGAAAGATGAGAAATAATTATCCCCAAGAAAATAAATTTTTTTAAGGCTAAAGTTGAACTACTGAAAAGAAAGAAAAAAGGGGGAAATATATATATATATATATATTGTAATTGAGCATCTGCATGATTTTGCTTGAGCATATAATTTTTGGTAGGTCATTTCCCACACTTGCTGCCAAATTTTTCTGCTGTTAGCACAGCAACCTCTTTCTCTAGCTTGAGAATCCGAGCTTCAAGTTCCGATTCTGATAGCCTAAATGTGAAATCCCTACTACTTCCTTTATCATTGGACTTGTTGCTGTCAATACTATGAGCATCCTCAATGCCTGTTCCTGATATCTTTGTTTCAAATTCAGACTTCATAATGTGTTGTATCGGTTTCCTTCTCCTAGAGGCTCCATCATTTGAAGCCAAAGAAGAGAGACTTTGAGATTGAGTGTCAAACAAAGGCTTGTCAATACTAGTAGTTTGCCACATTCCAACTAGTGTGTGTTTATCTGCTTCAACCCTTTTACATTTGAGAGGGAAACCAGAAGGAACATCAGCATCATTGCCTCCTTTCATTTCGTTTGAAATCTGCGACAATCGTTTCCATTTCCTTGCACTCCTTTTTCTTTGCACGATGGCTTTAATTGCATCTTGAGGAACCAACAGTTGGTTCCACCATTCCAAGTATCGGGTGGTAACATCCGACTCAAAGAGTCTAGACGGAATGTATAGTTTTGCATTGCTAACCGGCTTGCTATAATTGTTCCACGCAATTTTTGGAGTTGCATTGGAGCGAGTAAACCATCCCGGAATGTCTTGATCCATTCCAAATTGCATTGCAACGCGATGTGGAAGGTACTGTTCTCTACAATCTAAACCAACAAGCTCACAGACCCTGAGGCATCGAGCAAACGACTCTAATTCTTCATCTAATCTCAGATTGTTTGACACCCACTCTTCTCTTTCTTTGTAAAACTTGCGAAGCGACAAGCCATGTACAGCTATGGCATACGGACGCCATTGAAAAATCTCTCCGGCAGAGTCTATAAGCCGTCTCACAGTCTCAAAATTTGATGTTGTTGGAATGCACCACCGAGCCATTCTCGGCTCACCAGACTTGATGGCATTGGGTGGTGGCCGCAATGGGGATAACCTCTCCCAAGCCCAACATTGGGCTAACCGTAGTGGCGCCCATAGTTTAACTGCTAAAGGACTCTCATAATTGGCTTCTAATTCAGTTGATGCAGCAATTGCTTCTTTTAACAAACTCAAATCTCTATAAATGCTTGCAAGAACAGCCGGTGCAAGCGCGATTCGCGTTCCTCTTGCTAGGTGAATGGCAATTGGAAAAACATGTTTACCAATGACACGAGGACAATTTCCAGGGAACACATACCTCGACAACCATAGAGAAAGAAATGCTTCATGCTCGAATTCGCTTCCACTCTGCATAAAATATTTCTTCCACTCAGAATGGTACGCCTTCGTGGATTTTGATTTTTCTAGTTCTTTCCGCACTTTGTTCAGATATTCAATTTTGACCAATTCTTGGGATTGAAGAGGCATTGAAACAGAGGCACCAAGAACAGAGAAGTCACCCAAAACCATCATATCTTCTAATGTAATGGTAGCTTCACCCCATGGGAATAGAAATGTGTTGGTATGAGAACACCATCTCTCTGCAATCCCGAAAACCAAATCGGTGTTCAAACGAATTGGGTACGTAGAGCCAATAACAGCTTCATAAATTCCAGCTTTTTTCCAAGTCGATTCGTGTAGAGAAAGCATGTCATTGACCCAAGATTTCCAACTCTGTTGGGGATCTCTCCATCCATGGAAGGCCACCTTCAAACCCCATTTAAATTCTGAGGAAATTGAAGGGGGTTTGAACTTGAAGGTTGGTCCATCAATGTGAGTGACAGTGGGTCGGAGAAAATGGGCAGTTCTTAGAGTTGGGATTCCACCTGTGGGAGAAATCATGAGATCTTCTCTCTCCTCAATGATGCTGTCTTCTAATGGCTCTGTCATTTGCTGAAGAACTTCAAGAGCTCTGAGAAGGAAACATTTGGAAGAAAACAGTAAACGGGTATTCCATAGATCACTTGATTTCTTCACTAATAAAGCTTCAATGTTCAGGGGATAGAGAGAGAGAGACAGAGACAGAGACAGAGACAGAGACAGAGAGGAGATTTGAGAAAGAGAAATTTTTACAGCTAACGGTTAATGGGTATTGCATAAATCACTTGATTTCTTCAACAAGAAATGGCATGACCATAACTGGAGAGATATGGTGTTTTTGTGTGCTGTTGAGTTGCAACAGAGGCTTAAAAAACTAGGGCTCTAAACACACACACTGTGTGGTTGTAGCAAGGGCATTATCGTCATAAAACTTCTCGCTCTTTTCCATAGCAGCAGCACTAGCGCATGTATGCTCCGCTCGGCTGCTTCTTTTGTATGTTCTCTGATTTCTGTGTCAGTGAACAAAATGGTAGAACCACGTCTCGATCTCTCTCTCTCTCTCACAAACACACACACACACACAAACGACAAATCTTCAATAGGAGAATATGACTTTAAAAAAGTCTGAATCAATGTTTCACAAAGACCCTGATTAAGAGTTTTAACAGCGGTTGAACTATCATAATCCAAGAGCTATAATCAAGTTTGTGCATATGACTATTTATTTTAGTCTTTGCTTTTATAATATTTGAAATTGACTTACTCACTTATATAATAAACAATCTGAACTTTAATTTTAGACTTTTACAATCCTATAAAAGCTGTAGTGAAACATGTTTAGTAAAAGGGTCTAATTCTGAAGACAAATAATATAAAATAGTGTGTGTGTGTGTCTGTGTGTGTGAAAATGTTATGCGGTATGAAAGAAACGCCAAAGAGAGGAGAAAGAGAGTGTTGTGCAAGTGAGAATTGCGTATTGCACGGTTTGCACCTGTTGGTGGTTTTGCAGCATTAGCTGTTAACCGATTGGTGTCGAATTAGATTTGATTTTCTTCTATCGGATCTAATCTGATCTAATTTTATAGAATTGTTTGTTATTGAATTCATGTCGAAAGAAATAGTTTATTATAGATATAGTTTATTATAGATATATTCTTATTTATATGTCCGTACTTAATTAGTACGTAATAACATGTTATCATAATACCGGAGCTCCAAGTTCAAGATTTAGATTGACTAATAGCAAGTACCATTGACTATTTTTTTTCATTTCCAACGTGCATGCTTACCCTCTACTCTGCCCGCAACTAAAATCTCCATAAATTATCAATTCATAAGAATCAAATTGGGTGATTGAGGTTCAAGGAATCATGGGTTGTCTGAAACGAGATATTATTATATTGTTTTGGACCATATGTCCATATAATAATTTCTATGTATAGTTAAACGAGAAATTATTACAGAATAGTGAAGACCACGTAATCCCGGCCAATCACTAATTGCAACCAAACAAAAACTGAATAAAGCCAACACATTTGCTAGAATATGAAGTGGTGATTGGCCGGGACCATATAATAATTTCTAATAACTAAGCACCTAACCAGAGTTCAGCAGGAAAGAAAGATGGATCATATACAGGACTTTCCCAGTAAAAAAAAAAAGCTAACAGCACTGTATGCTCATGACTAAGATAACCCAAGTGATATAATGTGCATGCTCTACCATGAAACATTTAAATCTTCAACTTGGAGCTCCAAAAGTGAAAAACAAGTAGCTTCTTTTATTGAACATCATTCTTGGTCCACCAGAAAAACCCTCCGCCCATCCTTCGTCCACCAGAAAAACCCTCCCTTGTTTCGATGATCAAGGAGCACTATTTGACAGTAAAACGACCAAGAAAATGACAAAAAATTCCGCCAAATATTATTCATTTACTGCCTTGGAATGTTAAAAGCGCCTAGAAACTCTTCATTTCTCTAGCGCACCGCACTTGTCGTTTGCAATGATCAAATTTTGGATGCAACAACACTGATGATAAATATCAGAACCTATTGAGATTTACAATGGAAGAGAATTTTGCATTTAGTGATTGTGAGCAACAGATGATCAGTCTTGGAGGACAAACGAGCCTTCTATCCTTCTCTCCATGGGCTGAGGAGGAAAATTCAAAGGAGAAAACATGTCAATGAAACTTGAAGCAGGTGCAGGCTTGAACTCGTAAGGACCTCCCTTGACTCCCCAAACCTGCGATAAGCAAAACAGAAGAAATTATTACCAGAGATTTTTGGTTTATTCTACTGCAAAACACTATAATCTATAAAACTCTTCACAGTAATATAATAAGGCCATCATGACTAACTTGGTTTCCATCATCATCAAAGCCCTTATCCCAGGTATGTATCTCATTATTCTTCAGGACGGAAAGTTCTGAGGTACAGTGTGTCGCACCATTCTGTCATGTATTAAAATCATAATTAAACATAAATTGACAGAAAAAAATAATAATAATAAATCTAGGCTTAACTAAACAACAGATTGTTAGAAAATTTCACTCTGTTGTAGCATACATATTGAAGCACAGAGAAAACAATAGACAACTATGGTAACAAGATCAACAGGATTACCCATGAATTAGGAAATCCATCTGGTGGAGTTGAACCTTCATATAAGCAGCGTTTTCCACGTTCACAGCGTTTAAGATGTATCGTGGTTAAATGTTCTGCAATGTCCTGAAATGCAGCATACAGAATAGCACAATGTGAACCAACAATAGCAATAAAAGTGATAAGACGAATATAACTTTGAAGTAAATTTTAACTTATCAAAAAAAAAAAAAAAAATTTGACAGTAAATTTGAACAAGGCAAGGCAAGGCATGAGATCTCAGCGGTGACATTGACAAAGAGCCAAACTTAAGTGGGTTAACAGCAGCAATTATCTCTTATGATTATTAATTTGAAACTCATACCTTATCACTTTCTAGGATACCCTAACTATTGAATGTTTCCCAAGTTGAGCATTACCGAACTACCTTAGTGGTCTTTTTTCCCCCCAAAACTGACTAGTTTGGCTTCCATATCACTTAGCCCGGTGAAATCATTTTCCATTTGCACCACATCTTGAGAAAACAAGGACTGTGATACCATCTGACGAGTCACACTAAGACTACCAACATTTATATAACATCAAAGAAAGTTCAACTGAAAGACAACTTCCTAAAACTGGGAGAAAAGGGAGGAAGATGGGAAAATTACACCTTTCCCCAGAACAGGGGTGAACTGCTGAATCCACCTAACCAAATAAAAAAGGAGATCGCTTTGTGAAAGTCTGAAATCTACATTACAACATCAACAGTCTCATTCCTGCTTCATTTTAAATACAAATAAGTTCCAAAAAGAAAAGAAAAAGACATTCGACAGCAAACAACCATTACAAAAAATTTCAGGGTATTTCATTCTGACAAAAGGTCGGGAAACTTTTCTGTCCAACTCAAAAACAAAGGATTAAAACTGGCAACTAACATGCTGGCTCACCACCACTGCAGTCGACAACATTTGTACTCTAGTCAGGTGATTGGTCCCATTCATCGTAAGGCATTTGATATGCATCCAGTTTAAGCAAATAGACCATAAAATTACTTATCAAAAAAAAAAAAAAAAAAAAAAGTAAATGGACCATAAAAATTCCTTGAGTAACTTGCCTCAAAGTTAATAACCCAACTTATTGAGGGAGTACATGTTCTCCAACTTTTTCATGATATCAGATTCGGTGCTTTGTTCAAATAACTTGCAGTTTCAGTGAAAAAGAAGGAGAAGACGACAAGTAGCTATATGTGGGAGAGATGAACCATAGTCTGATGATGACAAGGAGGGAGGGTAGATGAAGGTCGCTTAAACTTCTATGACCTATTGATCAACTCATATTTCCTCAGAGACCTAAACGGGGGTAAGACGTTAGCAGAAAGGAATACAACCGAGAAACTTCGGTCTAGGCACGAATAGTCCACTATAGCGAGAGGTCTACAACTCTAGCTATCAGACTCTGCCCCCGCAGAATCACCTAGTTACCTTTAATCCAGATTCACTCATGTTGATCATCCACAAACACTTCAGCAACAAAATTTTCTCTACTTGGTTGTCCGATTTTCCTTGATTTATAGAAATTCCAGTTGATTGGTAATTGATGATCTACCATTGTCTTCAAGCTTTAATTTTCTCAATCACATGTGAGTTTTTTAGTGTGCTATATAAATCCCTAGATTGAATCTCAAAGCTCTAAAATTCTCTACCCAAAATTCTCAAAAACTCATAAGACTAATAAGATCATGGTCTCGTGTCCTAAATTTATTATAACTAATATTTATAGTCAAAATAGGAATCCTAAATAAAATAGTAAAATTGTAGCCTAGTAGTATCTCCTCTACCTCCCAAAGTGGTAGGTGAGGATTCAAGTCCCCATAGGAGCAGCAAATGGGTGTGTAAGTTTCTTGCCAAGGAAAATAAATTTATAAAATTTCGAACTTGAAAAAATGAAAAAAAAAAATTCTGATGATCAATTGAGCTACTCTAGTAGCCTTTCATCAATAGAGTCAATTGATAGTAGGCTTTGTAGCATGCTGTCCTCATTTGAATGAAGGGTCTGAAGTTTGATCGAACAAGCTTTTGATTGTTCCTCACTGTTTTCTTCAATAACTCTTATTAATGTTCAATCTATCCTACTCAGGGTTCAATCGTTTGGATTTCCTGGTTCAAAAAATATTTTAGGGCTTTTTTGTTTTTTTGTTTTTAATTTAAAAATAAAAAATAAAAAAAAACCAACCAACTTGAACTATAATTCTTTTTGCTAGAGCACCTCCCTAAACAATTCTTTTGACAGATAACCTCTTAAATTATTTAAATGTTGCATATAGTCCACTACCGTCAAATTGCTGTTTAAATTAAATGAAATTTACCCACGTGCAATGCATAAGACCAATTTTTTTGTTATGAACCGATATACCCTTTTAAGATAAATCACAAGAAACCCACTTAACTATCAATTGTTTTGAACTATGTACTCAACAATAAAAAATCAGAAAGGGTTGCAAATAACGCCCTGATAACATAGCACCGTTCAAAAGTAACAGTATTCAGTAATGTACTGATATTTTTGCAGCTATGACCATTATGAATTTTAGATGATCCAACATTGCATAACCCAACACCCAGTTTTCATATCAGAAGTAAAATATCAAACTTATCCTTATCAATGAAATGAAGAGATTTATGGTTTGTTGTACCCTAATTCTCTCCCCTTATTCAACAAAATTACTTTACACTTATTTTACCCCTAAAGTTTATTTTTAAAAAATACTTTTTTTTTTCAAATTTTACAAGTTTCAAAATTTTTATGTCCAAATAAAATAACAGGCAAGTAAGTAATTTTCTATTGAAAGTAACATCAACCTAATTTTGTGGCCTAATTTGAATAATTTAGAAGACTACTTGCAATGTCAAGGGTTTATTCGCAAAATGGTGACTCATATGCAATTGACCCTTTTATTTAAACAAAGAATGGACAAATTATTATTTTTTTCATTATTAGTAACTGCAGCCTAACATCATGGACTAATTTGCATATTTCGCATAGTTTGGAGGGTTTTTTGTAATATGAGGGATTATCTGCAAAGCACTATTTTCTTTTGTACTTTACCCTTTTCTTTATTTCTTTTTCTGAATGGTAAAATAGTCATTTTAGATAACTATTAATGGTAGACAGTACACTAACATTATTACCGTATTTGCAAAAAAAAATTATATAGTTTTTGCGGAGTGGTAGGGGGGTTGATATTTTTTTGGGGGTTTATTTGAAATTACAAGGACCTATATGCAACTAGCTAATAGTTTCAAGGGGGTTTTCTGTAATTAACCTAATATTTTAGTTTAAGTTCACTTTAATAGTCAATCCTAGGTTATGGGTGGTCCATCTATCTAATGAACTAAACCGACCTAAGCACCTATATCTGCCAAATTCTCACCTTATCTTCTCCTCTATCCATGTGATAGAAATTGATGAAATTCTTCATATAGCCTTTAATGTCACTTCATCCTCATTGTCTTCACTTGTAGACATACAGACTCACTCATGGACACTTTGTTCAACTACAACCCAGTTTTGTGTAGAACTTGTCTACACATTACTCAATCAATATCCTAACAGTATGAGCTACAATTTACTATCCATGCATCATAAATTTGCAGCTTCCATAAAAAAACCAATGTTGAGTTTTCTTTTATTTTTATGTTTTTTTTGGTGTAAACTCAAACTACATTTGCTACATTATAATCAATTTTACCTAAGCAAGCAAAAGATACAATTTGTACAAAAGAAACAAAAGCTTCAAAACCCAATAAAGAAGATAGAAAATCCAAATATAAGACTTATTTAATGTGTCCAAACGCTTACCCCAATAACTTCTTCAGGCTGTGGGCGCTGATCCTTTGGGCGATCACAAAAGTTCTTGTACTCCTCCGCATCTCTAATGGCATATGTACTTAGCTGCTCATGAAGTGCAAGTTTGAAATATATGGATGTCAATTGGTTCCAAAATGAGATACAACGTCCATTAACTACAAAAGAAGAAAATTTCTAGCCCTAGCACACAAAAAGAAGGGCAAGAGAAAAAGTAATACAAGCAAGACTCTAAAGGATAAAGATGATTAACATTGAGAAAGTTGAATTTATCATGCCAAAAAAAAAAAAAAGACACAAATGGTTGCAATACTAAAAGCATGAGCATGCACGCAAGAAAGTCCCTATAATTATCACCAGACATTATTCGGAATTTTATGACAAAAATGAGGCCACATTTCATAAGCTCTTTGAATAACTAACAAGAAGAATAACAAGGACACAGTGAGAACAAACTGCTCAAAAACCTAAGGCTGACAAGTCTTCTCAGCAGGAACAAATGATAATAGCAATTTATAGCCTTAACAAGGAGTTTTTAAACTCGTGCTAAATCGTCATCTGTTGCCAATTTAATTTGTAAAAACCAACAACAGTTCTGATTCTCTCAATTAGCCGTAGAAAGGTAAAGTTAATGTGAACTCTAAACTATTGCATCACTTACCCCATCTCTCTATCGGAACTAGTTCTCAAAGATCTTTTCTAGGGTTTACAATCATTATCAAATTAACAAAGAAAACATCAACCTACTTTAAGTTTACAATTAAGATTGCATCAGTCACATACTATTGATAAAAACAGTGACAGTAGTGGAAGCAATTAACATTATAGCAGAAAGAAAAACAAAATGCTTTTTAACAATGAGCCACCAAAAAAAAAACCAAAAACAACAACATGAATCCTACCTCAACATCACATTTCATCTCCTTCGGACAAGGCTTCACCATATAAAGTCTCTGCAACAAGATAGCTGTCAGAAATAACCAAGGGAATATGTTTTGAAAAACAAATACTAAAAAACCTCATCAAACCAATATATAAGTAATTTTTATAATCGAAAATCCAATTATTTTCTTTTCTGTAATTTCTCATTTCATTAGAAGAACGACAGTCATAATAAGTATTTTCTTTTCTATAATGAATCTAAAGGGCAGGAGGTAGATTAGACAAACATAAGAACATGAGCAATACCTGCCGAAAGGGCTTATGAGGAGTTCTCCAGAATGCCTGCCAACACAAAAGACATCCCTTATGAAGCTAAATATTGGCAAGTGCAAACTAAATTTATGAAGTGAAAATTGCATGGGTTTGTAATTGTACTCACTTGTTCAATATATAAAACCTTCGAACCATCTACCATCTCTGCAGCCGGGCACGAAAGCCATCTACACAAATGAAAAAGAGATCTTTCAAGTTTCTAGGAAAATTTAAAGACCATGGTTTGATTAGCATTTCTGAAGTACTTCTATTTTTCTCACAGCAAATTTTTATCTTTATTTTGCATTTTAAATGCAAAGTGCCCATCAAACATAAATAGGATTATGGGATTGAGGATTTTAGGTCAAACTCAAAAAAACAGCACATCATGGAACATAAAGATGATTTGACATATCAGCCATCACTAACAGAAAATTTCATTATCTAGGCATAAGTTTGCTCATGTACAAAAATCTGGGGAACATATAATCTCCCTTTGGGATTCCAGGGGCCTATAAATTGCATCTGCGTGTGAAGGAGAAATCTCCCACCAAGCAATACTGACACTTGGCGATGCATGCACAATACGCTTCCATCAGCCACACACACACGCAAGAGCAATGATAAGACGTTTAATGACAACAAGACACTAGATGACTAAGAAGCTCTGGAGCTGTCTGATCGCCAAGGGTGGCCCAAGCACCAGGAGAACACGTCCAAGTACCAAAATGATGAGGTCACACCATTCGGAACCAGTATGCACTCACAGATTTCCAGCATCCAGTATCGAAAGATGCGATAGGCTGACCAGACCATCAAGATTGGGCCATCAGCATCAAGAAATCCATAATCCACCAAAGAGATGATCTATTCCGGCTCATGCATCCAACCTAATATCACTAATTGAAGAGCTCATGTCAAGGGCAACAGTGATGGCAAAAAGAAGACATCTTTTCCAAACATGGAGAGCTTCAATACCGAGATCCTCACCCGCAAGAGAAGTGAGCCGCCCTTAAATACCAGTTGTGCTGCAGCTAATTTATGCAACAACGATTATGTTATCTCATTACAAGCCTTGAAACACTCCTCAAACATCTTTGCTGACTTAAGTATCAGAGGCTATCTAACTGATACCATGCCAGCAATTTGGTTTTTCATTTGTAATTGCGGGTCAAAAACTTGCTTAAGGTTTACATAACAATGGGGGAAGGAAAGCACCTCCGCAACGCTCATGAAGGAAGTAAACTTACAAGAACATGAGCACTAATTAAACCTCATGTTACATCTAAATAATTCAGGAGTTGTTTTGACACCTCCCTCGAACTTGAGTGGCCCTTTCACTTTTTATCTAGCATTTCAAAGTAAAAAACTATTGCCTATAATGGAGTCATTTTGAGGAAAAGAATCCTTCTAAAAAATGTCGAGCTTTTTTGTCTTAAAATAACTTTAAAATGATCAGATACCAATAAACACGGTGAAGTTTCCTAGTTTCCTTAATGGCTCCATTTGTAATACATTGGTATGCTATGTAAGAACTGCCAAATTTAAAGGGACATCCAAAAAAGCCCTTAATATATATATATATATATATATATATATATATATATATATATATATATTATAAGTCAAACCACACGAGAACAATTTTCCAACTCTTTTGAATAATTTTAATGAATTTTGTTTTGTCGTTACGCTTTAAGGTCATAATCTCAGTCAAACCACATACCACATACTAGCCGATTTTTCTCATTTTATCTCCAACTCATGCTATCAATTGCCTCGTGAATATGTTGAGTTTTTTGTTTTTTTCTTTCTTATTTAAATTCCGCCACTTAGTTCTTAGGTTAATAATATTTGTTCTCTTCCTTCAATGTCTGTTAACATATACATTTAAAATAATCAGCAATGTAGACTTGTTGCAATAACTTTACAATCTTTACATGTTAGTAAACTCACTCTTCTAGTTAGAAAAAATCAATCTGACCATATCTAATTCAATTTTAAAGGTTATTTAATGTTCATATCACTTTATATATAGGTTTTTGCTATCATAAGAGTCATAAGACTATATTCCATTACAAAGTTTATTATAGACTACTCAGTGTCATTCTTTCTCCAAATCCCTATCCACCATACTCATCTCATACAAGTAATTTCTCTACTTCAGGTATTCCTTAAATTTATTCATCCATAATTTCATATGCTTCTAAATATTGTGTTTTAATATGTTCCTCTAGTTCTACTTGGGGTGCATAACCGTTAATTATACTACCATAATTCTTTTTTATTATATTAAATTTATTTCCCTTGAATACAAATTTTATTAATATTATTCTATCCCCTATTGAATAACAGTTAAAATATCTTCTTTTAAATATTTTCAACCAGTATCTCCACTTAATTTTTATGGCTATCCTATCTTTACTACCCACTTAGCTCTCATTCTAATGAGAGTTCTTTTAATTCGATAACTAAGCCACACTCTCTTGAACTAACTTCTTTATCCTTGCTCGTCCAAGAAAATGCAAGAATCCTGCCTACCTTTTTACAGTATTCAAGAGTCAATGAGGTGCCCCCTGACCCATTTCTCGCAATATCCAAAAGACATTGCAACACGTTGCTTAAGGAAAATGTCCTAACATTTACTCAAATATTATGTCAATACATAGTTATATACTGCAACAATGAGAAAATGTGTGCCACCCATATAAAGAGCAATAATAGAGAAAGTAAAATTATAAAATTAATATCGATTGTTATAGTTAATAAAATAAAAAAGATACGACAGTGCGGTTTAGCTGAACTTATACTTCAGAATGAATAAAATTACAAAATAGATTCATGTAGCCTATCCTAAATAGTCAGAAGAAGGCTTTGTATAGCTGAATCGAGTTTATATATTAAATATATTGAAATAATGCGCACGGACACACTTCTAAAGACTAGAGTTGCTACTTTGTTTCAAGCCATCAATATATACACACATAGATGTAAATGGACACACAGTGTAATTTTGCAAGTAATACAAAAAGGGTATTTCTGCCCAAAAAAAATAAAAAATAAAAAATAAAAAATTTACCTCAAATTGAAATGATTATCAGGATCTCTGGATGCTTGCTCTTTCGAGAACTACAAGTAAAGATGATGATGATTGTTAAATGAGAAGTAAATTAATAAAAATTACACAAATATAAGCAGCAAATAAATGCACACACATGCACAGAGTACACACACTGAGAGAAAGAGAAAAAGAAGAGAGAGAAACAGAAGTACCTTCTCGCCGCTGAGGGATTGAGCAACAATACGGGTATGGTCCCAGCGAGTGGTGGACTTGGTGAGACGCCTCAGCAACACTGCCCCTCCGATCAGCACCACCGTCTTCAACACTATTCCCCTTGCTCTGCTCCACCCGTTAGTGTCCGGGTCCGACTCCGACCCATTTCCCATCCCCAACCCAAACACTCACTACCTTTTCCTACTGTTCCCCCAATTCCTAACCTAACTCATCATCACTTCAATTCAGAAACACCGATGGAAAGGAAAGGCAAAAAGAAGAAATTGAAAAGGGCTTTTTCTTTATGGTGAAAAGTGTGTATATATTGAACTCTGAGTCTTCTCTTCTGTGACTGTAAGCGCTGGGGAAATGGAGATCAAGGAGGGAATTTCGTTTCCTCTGCTTTTCCACTGAAATCCAAATCCGAAGGAAATGCTTATATCGCGGTTTAAAGTCACCACTTGAATTATTGTGATTTGCAAATATCTCAGGCTCACACGTTGTCCAATCACCACCATTCACCAATTTGTTTGTATATAAATACATACATATATTATATATATATATATATATATACACACCTGTAAAAAGGACTGATCGTTAGGCCTTAAAAAGTTTTATAAAAGTATTAAAGTTAATTACAACAACACCCCTGAGATTTGTTATATTGACAGCCATATACAACTTAGCCATTTTTGAACAAAGACATCCCCTAGGTTTACAAACTTGAACAATGACACCCCATTTTAAAAAAACGAAGCCAAACACAGCCTTAAGTGACATGAAATGTCTAATATGCCCTAAGATATATTTTAATCCTCACCTAAAATGACCAAACTACCCTCGCAACTCATCTCTCTCTTTCAACATCTCATTATCTCATCTCATCTCATCATCTCATCTCTCTCTCTCTCAACCCAGTTCCTCCTCTTCTTCCACACCCTCCCAATCCGTAAATCAAACCCAAAATTCTCTCTATCACACACACACACACACACATAATATCTCTCAAACCCCCATCTCAAACCCCTAATCTCGATTCTTGCTCGCCGATTCCATGTCGTAGTTCCTCTCATGGCCGAGCCCTCCACCGGCTGAGCCGCCCGCTGTCATCGAGTGTCATGGAGTTGGGTTTTAGATTCGTGTGATGGGTGACTATCTCAATTCGGAAAGCACTTTTAGGACAACGGCTGGCGAGCAAAATGGATTGCTCATCCGGTGGAGAGCTTGACTGTGGATAGATCGGTCGTGGAGGACTCGCGGCGGCCGGTGAAGGCTTGGCTGGTGAGGGCGCGGCCGTGTTTAAGATGGCCTTGGCTGTGGGCGATGGGAAAACGGCCTCAGTTGTGGGCGACGGGCTGTTAACACTGAACACCGGTGAATAGCTTAGCTGGATAGAATCGGCGACAGTTGGCTCGATTGACTTCGAAACGGCGATGAAGGGCGCGGTTGACTGACAGCGGCGGTGACGGGCGTTGACTCGTCCGAGTTGGACTCGATGGTGGCAGAGCTCGGATGTGGTGAACGAGGTTGGTTTAGCTCGGCGGCGGTGGCAATGGCTATGAGTAAACGATGGAGGAATGGATTGCGGTTATGGATGGCTCGGATGAGGGCAACGGCGGGACGGTGATGGACTCGGCTGTGGGCCTGTGGCGGCTTGATGGACTGCGGCTGTGGATGGCTCGGATGAGGGCGACGAGGGGACGGTGATGGGCTCGTGGCGACTTGATGGACGGCGGGGAAGAAGGGCTCACAGAATGAATGGGAAGATCTAAAAATTGGAAGAAGAAAGGATATTTTGGATGAGGGTAATTTGGTCATTTTACATGGTCAAAGGGTAAACATGTATTTTCATCATATTTGGGGTGTCATTGTTCAAGTTTGTAAACCTAGGGGGTGTTTTTGTCCAAAAAATGACTAAGTTGTATATGACTGTCAATATGACAAATCTCAAGGAGTGTGGTTGTAATTCACCCAAAGTATTAAGTTCAGATCCAGTTCAGATGCATAATTGCATACACTGATCAGAATCCAGTTGTTCCATTCCAAGACCAAAAATATTTATATAATTTCTATTCAAAAATTATTATGTAATCCATTTTTTTGTGTTCAAATATTTATATAAGATGTGAATTCTAGGCAAGACTCTTTTAATTGGATTTAAATTAAATTTGTAATCTAAAAGCTCATGATGTAATTTTCATTAATTCTCTAAAACTTAAAAAGAATATAAGATAAATTTAATTTTAAAACAAAAATTCATAAAAGTATATAGTAAAAAAAATTAAGAAAAAATAATAAAAGAATGGTTCTGCATGTGGACTCTTTATCTTTATACCCTCTATAGTCTTTTCTTCTTTCTTTCTTTTTTTTTTCCTCCTTTTTTTTTTTTATTATCTCGATAAACTAGGGGAGGGGTATTTGAATACAGACATACCATTCAAAAAGCTAAGCACCCTCTCAATTAGGCCACTGAGTAATGTTATAGCCAATTTTAATCGACAAATATTTACATACACGAGAAAATGGGCGGAAATAGAAAAACGACACACGTGTTGTTCGGGAATGACACAGTCCGCATGTGACTCATGTGTACAAGCCTCACATGTGACTTTACCAATCAATACCCTTTTCACGCACAAAGTAAGGGATTCCTTCCCATCTCTAGAGAGCACATTCCAAAAGAATGGAATGGGCACCCTCTCCTTCCTCTCTCTTTCCTTATCCTCCATATATGGCCTTTTCTGTGACTCATCAATATCCAAATTACATGTGTTGGTATAATGCTATTGTAAACTATGAATTCAGATCCACCCAGTCTAATAGATTGGTTGGATTGGGTAGGTTGACATAATGTGAACTTCTGAAAGTAAAAGAACAACTAAAACTCATCTTCCTAAATTTTCAATTAGAATTTCAGAAAAGAAATGGCTGTCGGATACAATGTTAGAACACCAATTGTTCCCAAAACTCAGATGTTAGATAATGAACCCGACAATGTATATCAAACTCCAACAAGAAAAAGGTTATATTTTTATCTAAAAAGACTGGAAAACATTACAAAATCTTTGAGATAGAATGCCCATTACAGCAATTAACCAAAGATGATAAAAACAAAGCTTAGTAACAAACATGTTGAAGTGACTGTCAAACAAAAATGCCAAAGGCTGCTCTTCCATTCATGGGTGATGCTCACTACTTCCTCGAGTGTACATTACTGGACCGCACAAGAATTCGCACAACCAAATTTTCAAAAGCCAGGCCTTACCAGAAAATCAGCTATATCTTCCTCATTCAAAGATGGAAATAAACAGGCAATCAATCATTTCCGATTCTATCCCAACAGTAACAGATGCTTACTCTTTCTAAATAGTTGAATTGGCAAGACATGCCCTCAGCAGTTTAGTAGCTGTTCCGCGTTCACAAAGCATTACATAGATTTTGTTGCAGCAGTTTTTTCTTTATTCTCTCAGTTATAGTAGGATCCAATTTTATTTACAAGATAGCTGAAGTAGAACTCGTACCTGGCATCAGTTTTCAATCCGACTACTTTAGAAATGTATCTCGCGTCTCTCAGAAAAGAATTTTCCTGTAACTACTTGGTCCGGAATCAGGGAAAGCCAGACTCCAGTGTCAGCCCCTTCCTCAATTGTGATATGCCCCGACCAACCAGTCATGGCAGTCTTCACCCAGCCGGGACAGTAGCAATTGATACATATCTTCTGGCCTTCTGGTTGATCTGAAAGAACCCTGGCCATTAGCCTTGTGTAAGCATTAACTGCGAGTTTTGATAACGAGTAGTCAGCGTGCGTTTGAGGCCATCCATTGGATGTCCAACTGCCATCTTTTACTTGTTCCAAGAACTTGTTCACGGTCTCATCAATCAATTCTTCTGAGAGAGTATCCACATCTTCCAATTGGTGTCTCAAAGTGTCATCTTCAATTCTCTGCCACAGAGTCAAGAACTTTAATCATGTTCATAAGAAGCAAAGGGTGTCCACACAAACAAGAAAAAGGAATAGAGACTCCTAATTTAATCTCATGCAGCTTCTGTCATTTGTTACCGCAAATAGTCCCAATATGATAAATTGGAGTGGAATAGGGTTAGGTATTAGAAAGAGAGACTATGATCCTCCAGCATATTGCAGGTTTGAGGAACTCGTATTTCCAACACAGTTCATCCATGCATGGCCTTTCTTTTACAGAAAGAAAGAGGGACCCTTAAAGGAATTAAACTTTTAACAGTAAACTGCTAACTTTTTACGAAAAATGGATAGAGAAATCAAAATTCTGTGTGTCTAAACGCATATGACAAAAATATTTGAAGTTGAAAAGGAGCTAAGAAGGAAAAAGATTTTTTGCACTCAAAATGCAGAAGAAAGTTAAAAAATTCTCTCATGGTAGGCAATTGTTACTAGACTAAAGGAATCAAAGTTCCTTGCCTTCTCTAGAAGCCAGGTTACATGACAACATTCATCAACCATATGGCAAAGACATGCATCTTTGTTTTTTTTATTTAATAAGAATATTTAATCATCAAATATGCCTCCTATTGCTCGTACACGAAGCTTACATGGTTTTTCCACTTGGAAATACAGTATTGGGCTGGAATCCCCATTGAGGATAGGGCAATCAGAGCACGTGAACTTCTTTGGGCACATAATACCTTCAACATGCATAGCAAAACACTATTCTATGCCTTCATTGCTAGATTAGAAATGCATCTTAAGTTCCTAACCCAAAAAAGACCCCCCTCCTTCCTCCACTTTATCTCTCTCAAGTATCATGGAAAAGAAAAAGTGCAATAAGGGAAGCAAAAAAGCAACATCAAAATACTTACATGTCGCTTTCCATTAAGTCTTCCCAATCGTGAGCTCACATTAACAATACGAGCACCAGATTCAGAAGGCTTCATTAATGGGATCATAGCTTTAATCATATTTTTGGTCCCGAAATAGTTGGTGTTAATAACTTTTTCAGCACATTCAATGGTAATGTCCGACCCTTGATTGAAGCTAACACCCGCATTGTTTATCTGTAAAAGATCAATTATCCAATGATGAAAATTATCTCACATACCTCAGAAACCACCATATCGACCTACTAGCAAACAAAGAGGTATCAGTATGCACTATTGATTATACAACAAATTACAGAATATTATACATATGCACTTTTTGTATACTCAAACTTCATATATTTACCATTCAATAAAGGCTTCCCCAAATATCTAAACTAAATATTGACCAATCTAAGTTCCTTTATGTTTAAACAATGCAAAAAAAAAAAAAAAATTACATATCTAAACTAAATTTTGACCAATTCAGAAAAGATAGAGGAAAAAAGAAACGCAATCAGTTAAACGAGCTTAACATACATTATGATGGCAATCAAATCAACCTAAATGGCAAAAAAACAATAAATGGTCGAAATAAAATTATGATATTGGCATCTCACCAGAATATCTAGACCACCATAGCTCTGCTGTAACCAATCAGAAAAGACTGTGATTGATGAAGGATCCAGGACATCCAGTTGATGGAAGAACACATTCAAACCTCCTTCTTGTAAAACCTTTGTTGCTTCTTCACCAACAGCTGTGTCTCTTGATGTCAGAATAACTGTCAACCCATGCGCAGAGAGTTGGTGTACAATCTCAAACCCAATCCCTCTGTTTGCACCAGTCACCACAGCAACAGTATCTGGATTCCACCACCTGCCAATGACAAAACATATACTATTTTATACTTGTATAAATATGACTTACTGGTTACTGGGGGTAGCAACAATGTAGTACCCCACACAATAAATACTCATCATTTTCCTTGTTTATAATAAAAACTCAATCACTATTGGGGGTGGGTTCTACATCATAGGTTAAAGAGGAAAAAAATATTGAAAAAGCAAAAGTAATAGAAAGTGAAGTGAAAGTAAAGAAAATAAGTTTTTCAGCATGTATTCAATTAGAATGAAAATTTTGTAAGAAAGTTGTAAAATAATTCCTAGAAAATGTAATGGTTTTGATCGCAGGAAAATTACAACAAATTATTGTTGTTTACCAAATTGTCCTTTACATTATATATAATAATAAGTCTAAATGGATTTGTCTCAAAACATTTTTTTTTAAATTCTTTTTTAAAAAACTAAATTTATTGTGAAGATCTACATAAATAATTTTAAAGGGCATTCAGACTTTATACTATTCATTTAAATCAATTAGATGTATTAAAGACATAGATCACAAAGAAAGCAATATATTAGATGAGAAATACCCTAGAAGGTGGGGAGTAGATGACCCACTTAAGAAGGTGGGGAGTAATAAAGTGATAGGCCCGATAACATACCCACAGAACCTTGAAGAACCCGGATAACATACCTATACAAGATTGGAGAACGCTAGGTAATGTAGGAATTGAGTGGCTAACAAAGTTGTTTAACGACGTCCTAAAACAAGGCATGATGCCAAATGAGTAGGAAAAAAGGTACAATAGTACCAATTTGCAAAAATAAAAGGGGATATACAAAATTGTGGCAACTAATAGAAGGATTAGATTAATGAGTCAAACAATGAAAAAAATGAAAAATGGTAATAGAACAAAAACTAAGGGAAGAAGCCATAATATTCCATAACCAATTCGGATTCACGCCAAGGAGATCCACAATGGAAGCCATATATGTACTTAGACAATTACTTGAAGAATATAGGAGTATGCAGCAAGACTTACATATGGTTTTTTTTAGACTTAGTAAAAACGAATGATAAGGTCCCAAGAGATAATTTGGTGGGCTCTACAAAGAAAACAAATCCCATTACAAATCATAGAAAGTATCCAATATATATATGAACACAAAAACTAAAGTTCGTACCACGTGGTGAAACTAGTGAGTTCTTCATGGACGTAGAATTGCACCAAGGTTCGGTGCTAAGCCCATATTTATTCAAAATAATCTTAGATGAAATAACAAGAGACTTTGAAAATGAGATTCCATGATGCATGATGTTTGTTGATGATATAATGCTCACATATACCTCGAAGGAGAGAGAACATAAAGCTACAAATGTGGAGAAATGCATGAGAATCCAAAGGTAGTCGAACTAAAACTGAGTATGTGGAGTGTACGTTTAATAATGACTCGGACATTGATAACATAGTGATAACACTTCAAAACCAAAAGATTACCCAAAACAACCACTTTTGATAACTAGGATAGATAATACAATTGGATGGAGAGATAGATAGTGATATAACTAATACAATTGGAGTGGGTAGGACCAAATGGAGACAAGCTAATGGGATTTTATGTGATAAAAGAATAAGAAATAGGTTAAAAGGAAAATTCTATAGGACCGTTATTAGTCCAACTATGTTGTATGGAGCGGAGTGTTGGGCCCTAAAAAAGAAACAAGAACGATACTTCATGTAACGAAGATGAAAATGTTAAGATAGATGAGTGGAGTGAGTAGAAGAGATGCATTTACTAATGAAAGTATGAAAGAAAAATTAGGTGTACTGATACCCAATGGTGAGAAAATTTGGGAGAGTAGAGTTAGATGGTTTCATTCACATGCATCAGAGACCTAGTGGCGCTAGTCAAACAAGAAAGACTAGTTGTCATAGAAGGTAAGAGAAGGAGAGGGCAACCAAAAAAATATGGGATGAGAATATTAAAAATGACTTCAAAATGTTGATATAGTAAGCATTATGGATTTTTAAAATTAAAAAAGAGTGGAGACAGATAATTCATGTGGCCGACCCAACTCATGTTGGATTAAGGCAAGGATGATGAAGAGGATGAGGAATTTCCCTTACAAATTTACTTTTCTTATTATCTCAACTCCTAAAATGCTAAAAATATTTCTATTTCCATCTCTTTCCTCTACTTTCTATCTAACCAAACTAAGTCCAAAGTTTAAAGGGCTACGGAGAACTTAATAATAATCAAAGCATACTCAAGCCTAAGACCAGGCAGGGCCACATTTCAGCAGTCTTCATTGTAAACTTTGCTTCCAAAAAAATCTCAATACACCCATATACTAACTATCATAATACTAATTAGAAAACAAACAAATTCAACTATAAAAGACCCAAATGAAAATGCACGTATTTGCTTAATAAAAAAATCCAAAAAAGAAAAGAAAAATGCAAGTCTAATCCAGCACTGAACTTTCTAATCTTAGAGATCATTATCAGATGGACTGTAACAAATAAATTACAATTAAAATTATTAGGGAGATAAAGACAATGTAATCGAAAAACAGAAATCACATTGAGTTTGAAAGTTAGGGTTAATTTCTGGCATACACACATATACATATATTGGGGAAAACAAGAAAGGGTTACCTCTGGTGATCGGAATAAGGGATTGTACGGAGGAGAGAGATCTCTTGGCGTCTCTTTTCCCTTCGCTCTTTCGCCTTATCTTTCTTGTCTACTTCTTTCTTGTCCATTTCTCCCTCGTCCATCTCTCTCTCTCTCTCTCTCTCTCTCTCTCTCTCCTGTCTCTCTTTCTCTCTCTAAAAATGTGATTAAACTTGTATTGTGTTGTAGCTGCTATGATTTGCTCTCTCTCACTTGCGTAACGGAATTATAGCGTTCTTCCCGCTATATTTGGAGCTTTTATAGTTTTATACCGCCCTGGAGTTTGAACAAACTGATTGCAACGACTTACCTCCTTGTATACCTGTAATGTTTTCATTTGCTCCCATTCAACTTGGTCAAACCTATTATTTCATATGTATAATTTATGGTAAATTGCATTGACACCCTTGATGTTTCGGTCAATGTCATTTAGATGCGGGTCAATGGATTTTTTAATAATGACACCCTTGTAATTTCAAATGTCATATTTACCTGATTATTTAATTCAATTATTTTATAAAATACCAGCCCTATTAATTGATGAAACTATCCTCATCATTAAGCTTATTTATGTGTCCTAATCTCCAACTCCTTTTTTTTTCTTTTCTTTTTTTTTTGTTCAGTTTAGTACTGATGAGAGCTGAAAAGTGCGTATTTAAACCCCTTAAGCTTAGATATTCTAGAACCTTTATCTATCTTATTTTACCGTTTTGAATTGATTTCGTGTTATTTCCATTTTCAGGTACTTATTCCCAAAATAAGCTAACTCGGCCAAATAAGAGCATAATTGAAGCAATTCTGGGATGAATCAAAGAAATGAGCAAAGTAGAGCAAAAGGAAGCAAATGGTGGAATTTCAGTAACTTCGATCGATCTCAAGAAAGGTTCGATCGATCCAACTTTCATCGATCTCAACACTTCAAGATGGATCTAAGCCATGATTGTTCCTATTCAAAAATCTCAAAGTTCGATCGATCCAACTTCCTTCTCTGATCGATCGAACATTCTTATCCTTATCCAAATGATTGATCTTATCCAGCTATACCACCCTACCAACCACTTTTGTCCTTTTCCCCAAAAATATCTTCAGAATATCTCATATTTGTTTTTATCCAAAAAGGCGCCGCCATTGAGGATCGATCCAACTTAAATTCGATAGATCTCAGCCATGTTCGATCGATCGTACCTCAAGTTCGATCGATCGAACCTCTCAAATCCCGAGAAAAATCCAAATTCCAGCTCATTAAAAGTTGTCTCATATCTAATCATTAGAGGATTATTGATGTACAAGCCCAGCTCATTTGGGGTGATTTTTGACTTACCTATATAAGGAATATGAGCCACTTTTTGAGCATATACACTAGAGAGCGTTTTTTATATACTTTGATACACATACTTAGTGAGGAAGAAAAGAAGAGGAGGAGGTTAGAGACACCATTGGAGACTCTTTATCAACCAAGGAGCAGATTTCTTCCATGGAGCTTGCCCTTGAGGGTTGGAGGACATCATCCATGAGTGGCTAGACATCCTCTTAGGGCTAGAGTTAGCCCTAAGCATGCTTTCTACTTCTTGATTTATGTATTTTTGAGGGGATTTGTATTGTGATTCATGTCTTGACACTTTTATATATATAGATCTTGTTTATTCAATGATTTATGTGGTTCAATGCTTTTAATTGATCATTTCATTCTATCCATATGTCTATGTATGCTAGAATAGATGTTCATGTGTTTGTCTCTATTTCTTGTGTTATTGATGCGTGTCTATGTGTATTGATGCTATACATCTAAAGATTGTCAAGACATAGTGCTTAATGTCATGTTCTTGTGGTTTATTTGATGGTTCATACTCATTTCTTGATGGATTGTACCTCTCCCTTAGGTTAATTAGCTTAATTTCATGTTATTAGCTTAGTTGTTGTGTAGTTGTTAAATGGGAGGACAATCCATGCTTATTGTTGATGTTCCATACTTATGAAAGCAAGTAACATATATCTCTAACCTTGTGATGTGTTTGGATTGTGAGCTTAAAGAAAGGATTGATGGCTTAATTTGATATGTTGTATTATCCACTATGTTATTTAGACAGTATATGTTTAATTTTTCATCCATGTTTGTTGAAACAACCACACACACACACTTTGTTGCAATACATATTCTTCCCCTCATTAATCATTCATTAAAGGTGTAGAAAAGTTATGCCTAGTGGTGATCTCTAAACCCCAAGATCTCTCTCTTTTATTCTCTCTATTGTATTATTGTTTACTTAGTTTAATTTGTATCTAGTTTAATTCAACCAACCAACCACTACTTTGATCACTCGACCTACTAACCCTAATTTTGATTTCTCAACCTAGTGCGACCCTCAATCCCTTGGGACAATCCCTACTCACCCTACCTATATTTTTAATGAAAGGTAGTAGTGGCAATTTCTAAATGTAAAACTTGGCCACATTACATAAACTTTGGGTTCGGAGTGCGACAACCACCAAGTTTTTGGCGCCGTTGTTGGGGATTGATTGATTGGCAACGTCGTATTTGTGGAATCAATTAGGAATTAGTACTCTTTTGATCGTGTCTTTACTTTGTTTTCAATTTTGTTACTTATTGTGTTTGTTCTTGTTTGACTAAGAGCATTGGGCTAAGAAGGTGAGCAAAGGAGTATTCCAAGCAAAGGAGCTAAGAAAGCAAAGGAAAAGGCTAAAACTAAAAAAGGAAAAAAAATTTGCTAAGCTAAGCTAAAAATTTGGAGTTGAAGTGCTAAAGGACCTTTGTGAGTTTTTTCTTACTCAAACCCTTAGTTAAATCGTCGACCCGCATGGAGGCTTGTATTTCAATTCTTAGATAAATCGTGAGCCCGCGTGAAGGCAATTTACTTTTCTTGCATATTGTTAAAGCATGGGAGAATGGGAACATTGTATGTGGAGGAAGTTTGTTGATTGTTGATTTTTTGTGAAGGAGAAGTGCTTGCTTGTTTTTTTGTGTTTCGTGTGTCGCTAGAAGTCTTGGGTAGTCCTTGTCATATCATTTGTCCTAGGCATTCACATGGAAAATCTAGAGGGTAATCTTGGCTACTTAGACCCACGTTTCATGCAAAACCCACCTCTTAATCAACATGGCCTCGGAGTTCAAGCTCTAATTCCTCCAATGGTCCTTCGTGATCATTACAATCTTCATGCATACCATGCACCTACTTGTATTGTGTTGCCTAATTTTGAAGCAAATCAATATGAAATCAAGCCCGAGACTATTCAAATGTGTCCACTTTTTTATGGCTAAGATGATGAGGAACCCTATAAACATCTAAATGAATTCTTTGAAATATGTTCCACCGTAAGATATATGGATGTCCCGGAGGAAGTTCTTAGGCTACTTCTCTTCCCTTTCACACTCAAAAATAAAGCAAAGCATTGGTTCAATACTTTGGGGGTAAATTCAATAACATCTTGGGCACAAATGCAAAATGAATTTTTGAAAAATTTTTACCCCATAAGTTTGACTAATGTAATGCGTGCTTCAATTAGAGAATTTTCTCAAAGGGAAGGGGAGTGGTTGCATAAGACTTGGGAAAGATTGAATGACTTGCTAAGCAAATGTCCACATCATGGCATTTCGAAATGGCAAGTGGTTCAATATTTCTATGAGAGCCTTTCCGACATTCATAAGGACATAGTCGATACATCATGTGGAGGATTATATTTTGGAAAACATGAAGATGACATATGACACCTCTTTGAGAAAATGAGCAAAAACTCTCTGCAAAAATATTATACTTCTCGGTTTAACCATAGTTCTAAGGAAAAGAAGAGAGACTTGCAAGTATGTCAAATAGAGAATCCATTAGAGATTGTAGCTGAGGTTAAGAGTCTCTCTAAAAAACTTGATCAATTCTTATTGAGTCAAAAACCGGTTGTAAAATCACCTTCTTTTCATCATACTTCTCATCTTAGTGAGCCATGCATGACATGTTCAAGTGTTTTACATACCACTTTCGATTGTCCCCATGGACATGTATTCAATGAGCACTTTGAATAAGTCAATGCTATATTCGTTCACCCTTACTCAAGTGTATATGTTCCAATGTGGAATGAAAATCCGAATTTCTATCAAGCTAAAAAGTTTCAAGGCAAATATATTCCACCTCATAAAAGGGAAGGAGGTTCCCAAGGATTTGTTTCTTCTTCATCTCATCAAAGAACCAATCACTTTTCACATCCTCAAATGTATGATTCGCAAATTTGCTCTCATTATCCTCATGCGTTTCCTAGCAATTCTACATTTGAAGATAAGGTTTTGGTGGCCTTGGGTAGCTTAGAAAGGAATACCAACTTGTTGCACTCCCATTCTCAATCCATATCAAAGCTAGAATCCCAAATTGGAACCATAGCTAATGCATTGAATGCAAGAGAAATTGGGAAATTACCTAGTCAACCCGATAGGAATCCAAAAGCCCAATTTTGTGTGGAAGCTAACCCTACATCGAGGTGTTCTTCCCAAGCTCAAATGCAAGCCATCACCAACTTGAGAAGTGGTAAGCAAGTGGATAATAGGGTTGAACTTCCAAAGGAAGATAGTGAATCGGTGCAACCTAAAGTTGTCACCCATTCAATTCCCAATTCCATTCTTACCTCCTTGAATGAAAATGTTCCTAACCGGAATTCTCAATCATCTCCATCATCTCCTCAAATTGCAAAGTCTCATGAGCCAAAAGCTCCGTTCCCTTATGCTTTGAAAGAAACTTCGCCTTATGGGAGGCAAGAAGGAAAAATACATGACATGATGGAAGTTTGTAAGCAAGTAAACATCAATCTTCCTCTTTTGGATGCCATTAAGCAAATTCCACCTTATGCAAAATTCTTCAAAGATCTTTGCACACAAAAGAGGAAGAGCAAGGGACCAAGCCCTAAAAAAGTGTTCCTCACGGAGCAAGTGAGCTCTATTATTCAACAAAACACTCCACCTAAGTTCAAAGATCCCGGTGCTCCGACCATCTCATGTGTGATTGGGAACCATGAAGTTCGTAGAGCTCTCCTTGACTTAGGTGCAAGTGTTAATTTGATTCCTTACTCCGTGTATGTCCAACTAGGTTTGAATAAGTTGAAGCCAACCTCGGTGGTGCTTCAATTGGCCGATAGATCAGTCAAAACACCTAGGGGCATGGTTGAGGACATCCTCATCAAAGTTGATAAGTTTTACTTCCCGGATGATTTTGTAGTTCTTAATACCGAAATGGTTGCCAATCCCACCAATCACATCCCAATCATCTTAGGAAGGTCATTCCTTACTATCGCAAATGCAACCATCAATTGTAGATCCGGGGTTAT